AAAAAAAAAAAAATAAAGAAAAAACAGAGAAAACAGCGAAAGTAAGTCAGCTTACTTAGTCTAAATTTTTTAGGATTAAACAAAGAAGGGAATTTAAATGATGGCTGGAAATTTATGGTGCTTTTTTTTTTCACCTGTGAAATATTAGTTTACTCTGTTTCGTGTTTGTTAGGCCGTTTTTGATGTTACTAATTCTGACGGATTTAGGAAAGCGGATAAAGAAGGGGGGAGGTGGTGAAGCAAATGTAGAAGAAGTATATCACTGTTGTCATCGTCGCCATTAGTTTTGTTCTTTTTTTCAAACTCAAAACCTGAAATTTTTTTTGCTTTTGTTCGCATTTTATGTGTTGTGTTTCACTTAGTTTATCTGTCAAAATGCGGTTACTTTGTATTATATTTGAATTGTACGGTTCAATTTATTGAACAACGACGAATATTGAAAACAAAAAGAAAAGGAAAAGCGAAAAAAGGAATTGGAGAAAATTTTTTTTTACAAATATAATTTATCGTATCAGGAATAAACTGAAACTTTGTTTTTTTTTTCTTACTTTTATATGTGTACTTTTTTTTTCTTGATTCTTTGTTTCATTTTTTTACTTAGTTTATGTGATCTGTCTGTTTTTTCGTCGTCGTTGTGTGAACAGAGCAAAAAATAAAAAAAAATTGAAACAAACGAAAAGGATGAATGGAAGAGAAGGATGGATTAAAGTAAGTCAACGAAACTGCAAAGTTACTGTAAATAGAAAAAAAAATTTCATTTCTTGTTTTATACTTTTTTTATTCATATTCTACCTTTTCTTTTGACTTGATTTTTAGTTGGAACATTGTAATATCGTCTAAAAAGGAAACTCACTCAATACTGTTCTACTAAGTGTTTAGACTGTTTTTGGCATTGATCATCTAACTGGGCTCTCAAAACCTCTGATACCTTACGGGTAGGTAATCTTCTTAGCGGATCAGTCTCTCGAAAATGTTATCATTGATCTAAAACAAAACCTGAACCAAAAAAAAGGGAAGAAACGATACAAGAAAGATGAATTGTTCTTTTTTTACTGAAGGACGACTATCCAACTTTTTTTTTGGCTGTTGTGGTAAAAACTGTACTGTTTTTCAGTTCTTTTTCTGTGTATTCGATAGTTCTGTTGAAGGAAAAGAAGGTGGGGAAAAACGTTTGTCAAATAAGTGCTGTTTTATAATTTTATTCAATTTTGCTTTTATGCAGCAGTCAATGCGTAATGCAGTTTTTTCTTTATGATATAATCAAAAATTATCCGAATTGTTTGTTTTATAAATATGATTTCTGTTCGGATGGAGCGGTACGAAGGAAAGTTGAAAAACAGAAATAAACTGTTGAATTTATTATGGTTTGTTTGGCGCATATAAACATAATTATAGCCACAACTGAACAACAGCTGTATAGTGTAGAGTATTGGATCATGGGCTAGTTTAACCACTGCGAACGGCAGATGAAAGCATGACTCTATCCTCGGTAACGAACAGGAAGAGGCTTTTGTTCAAAACAAGTATTTAAATGAATAGTTGATCAAATTCTTGTCAAGTATCTACAAAATGCTGCTCTTTTACAGTTGGGATGAGTAGGCTGCAGTCATAGGTTAACGGTGGAAACTGTTCGTTTAAAGTCGTCTACGGTTACCTTCTGATCGAAATATCTAGCTAACTTGTCTACTCTATTATACTGCCTGTTGAGGTTATCAAACAGTGCATAGTGGTAGGCTAATATTTTTATTTTTTATAGGAGAAGAAGTAGAAGGAAAGTCAACATTACAGCAGCGGTAGATAAGATAAAAAACAGGTAAGAATTGAAAATAATACAGACTAATAAGAGGGTCAAGACAATGTCAAGCACTTGAACAACTCAGAAAAAAAGTTGTTAATTACCTATTGCTTGTAAAAATCACTACTGAACTACTGTTTAGCTAAACGACTTTTAAAAGCGTCACTAAGGTGTTAATTGTTGTTGTATGAAGAGTTGTAAAACTGAAGTAACTTTTTTGCTTAATTGCCGTGCAAATTACTGTTCAGTATTTTTACTTTCATAATCGTGT